AAGAGTCACATGATCACTCTTGGAAATTAACTGCCTCAGAAAAAAACAGGTAATTTAACAGGGTGTATGCCTACCAAGCACCTGCTTGTGGGCAGGGGTGACTCTTATGTGCTCTGCATCAGTCCCCTCTTCTTAGGGTTCATTAATGAGCTCTACACACATGGGTCACTGCTGTAGATGTGACTTGCCCCTCTGGCCAAGTCAGAAACAAGCTTAAGCCATTCAAGGATAAAAAAAAGTCAAACTAAGAAGTCCAAATAAGCAAAATTTTGACTCTTTGTGAGCTTTTCTTCAGCTCTCCATCTGGGACCCCTTTGAGTCCTTCCCTCTGCTTCGGTACTATGCACTCGGCTCCTGGGCTAGTTCCCCTGAAGCACTGCACCCTCCCTGGTGTAGAGGGTTGGGTCCCCTGGCTTGTTCCACCTCTTCAGAGTACCCAACCTCTTCACACCCTGACTCAGGGCCTTTCACAGAAGCTTGCTCAGTAACTGTGGTCAACCCTCAGATTGAAGTCTCTCAGATCTTTTAGAAGGGCCTGGTGTCTTTAGGAATCCCCTTACCCCCACTCCCAGTCGGGGAAGCAGCTAATTAATCGTGACACAGATGGGGCTGTGACCATCTCCCCCTACAGGGATTTTGTGACAGGCAAGTTGCTGGAATATTGCACATATTAACACACAGATGTTTTATACTCAGATTGGGGGCAGGATCTGGTTTTAAGAAGAGAGAGAATCACTTTGGTTCATGTGAATCAGGTTTTACTTGTTGCTCAATATGTTCAATTCAATACTTATTCTTTCACTCTTCGGTTTTAATTTACACTGGCTTTTTCTTGAGGTGACTCTTCAGGGTCTTTCAATTAACCTTTATTACTGTGGAAACAGGCAGTTTCATCTGTTAATCACTTTTTGGAGATCTCATGATGAGTGTTCAGTGTACTGAGACAACGACTTTAAAAATAATTCAGTCATTAAAAATCAGTTTGTTTTTTTAAAAATTACCTTTTTGATCTAAAGATTAGGAGAGCCCTCAAACAATCTTTTTCAAATTAATAAAGGACTGTGACATGGAAACTTTTGCTTTACAAGTTTACACTAGTAGTAGCAGCACCAGCTTTGACTCAACACCTGAGAACGAAGCAGTAGCATCCATTTTGATAACGCCATTCTGCCAAGTCATAACATCCTCTCAAAAACCCAAAAAGGAAATACCACCAAAGTGCTGCAGAGCAAAATATCAAATTATTCCAAATTCAAAACAGCATTATTTGATTTATGTAAAGTTAATGTTCACTGTGTTAACACAAGGGACTGTAATTCCAATATATTATATTATATATATAAAATAGAAAAAGCTGATCTACTTAGGAAGAGTACTTGGCTGATTTTAGTTAACTTAAGATTCAGAAGACCTCAGTTATCTTTAGTTAACGGAGTCACTGGAGGGCTTCCGCATGTTCTGTGAGGGTAGACACTTACAACAATATGGATTTCCATTGACTTCAGTGTAGCTAAGATGCTGGTGCATCAGTACAGGATCAGGGACCTAATGTTAAAAGAGATTGCAAAATTCTTCCCTCAAATTTTCATGTGTGTTTCCATAAAATAGAACCATTTATTTAGCAAATTCACACAAGCAAACTAAGTTACTGGACTGCTGGTATTCTACCATTCTCCCAACAGTAGATGCACGCACACACTACATTCTCTTAATAGCCTCTTTCAGCATTGCCACATTCTGAAGGCTAATGATAGTCCCTGAACAAGTTCTCCCAATCCTGCCATCTGAAATAGACACATCTGCTGTAAGTTTTGGGAGAGGAAGATATCCAGTGCCCATACAACATCAGCCAACATTCTCCATGCAGACATTTATAACAGGAAGCTGACTGGCAATAAGATATTCTACAGGTATTTCAACTAACTCAGACTTGTAAATGCTGAATCTAGCACTCAGTAGCTATATTCACACTGCAATTAAAAACCTGCAACTGGCCTGTGCCAGCCAAGTCAGGCTCACAGGGTACAGGCTAAGGGGCTGTTTAATTAGGGTTGCCAACTTGGTAATATTTAAAAACTGGACACTCCAGCAGGAGTGCAAGAACCTCCCCTGCTCTGCCTTCCCCCCGAGGCCCCACCCTTGCCCCTCCTATTCCTCCCAAGGCTCCACATCTGTCCCACCCCTTCCCCCAAGCTCCTGCCCCGCCTCTTCCCAGAGGCCCCAACCCCATCCACTCCTCTTTGCCCCTCCTCCCTGTTGCTTGCTGCTTCTCCCCTCCCAGTCGGGTCAGGACGGACTCACCTGTGAAGTCAGGGCTGGGAGCTGCAGCCACCCATTAAAGTAGGAGGCAGCCCTGGATAAATAGGGTCTGGAGTGGGTGATGACCTGGTGCCTCTTTCCCATCCCCCACTCGCAGAAAGCAGACTTTAGGTTTCCAGTCGAAAACCAAGCACCTGGCCACCCTATGTTTAATTGTGGTGCAGCCTGAGCTCTGGGACTCTCCCACCTCACAGGGTCCTAGAGCCTGGGCTCCAGCCCGAGCCTGAATGCCTACACTGCAATTAAACAGCCCCTTAGCCTGAATCAGCTGGCATATGCCAGATGCAGGTTTTTAATTGCAGTGTAGACATACCCAGTGACATTTTCTATGTAAACTTCTTTTAATCACATTATGTTTTGATAAGTAGCTTGATTTTAGCAAGTACTGAACTCTATTAAATGCATGTTTTGAGAAAGAAATTTAATAAGACTAAATTAAGTGGTGATGAAAAACATAATTCTTTTAACTACATCGTGGTAACAAGGAACCAGGATGGCAGTGAATGCAAATGTAATTAAATGTTTCATTCCATTTCCCCCTGCCTTTCCAATTTACCAAAAATTCTAAAAAAGTTGGTTTGGGGTTCTTCTGAACCCCCCCCTTTTTTTTTGAACTGCCAGCAAAACGAAAAACCAATTATTTGTACCGCTCTAGTCATGACTTTGTCTATCCGTTTACATGAACAACTAAAATGCAGGCCATGTGTAACGCTGACAGGCCCTGCTCGCCAGCAGGCAGGATCAAACTGGGGACCTCTGGAGCTTAGTGCATGAGCTTCTACCACATGAGCTAAAAGCCAACTGGCTGTTAGCTAAGGCTGTAGAGCAGGCTCATTTAACTCTCTAAGTGGTATCAGTGCCACTAGAGGGGACAGAACACCACACTGAGGAGGTGTGTGGGTTACGTACTTCCCCGAGCTGAGGAAGCGAGTCCCGAGCTTCAGAGACTTCCCAGACCCCATTTGTAATGCCAACAGACCCCGGTCGTCGGCGGGAAGGATCAGATCTGGGACTTCTGGAGCTTAATGCATGAGCCTCTACAGCACAAGCTAAAAGCCAACTGGCTGTTAGCTAAGTCTGTAAAGGAGACTCATTTTATCTCTCTCTAAGTAGTCTCGGTGCCACTCGATGGGACAGAACTCTATACACAGGAGGTGTGTGGGTTACACATGCACTCCAAAGTCCCAACCCAAGTAGCCCTCATGTGGGGTCAGTGCTGGGTTGAGCAGCAGAATGCTTTCTACCTTCTACTCCACAGCAGACTGCATTAAAACCTTGGCACAAACTAGTCGACAAAAATCGTTGTTTTCCAGAGGCATGGATATATAAATATCACCAAACTGATTGTGGGCACTTAATCCTAATAAAATGCCTCTTTACCAGACTTTCAGCCCCAGATCCATAGGAGTCATCAGGGTCACTCACAGGGAAATTCCTTTATAGTTCCAGCTTATGTTATTAATAAAATCTGCCTTCTTTCCTCTTCCAACAACCAATTGCTGCCTTCTACCTCCAATTTGCAGACACACATGCTATGAAAGACCAGCATACTACTGCTAAAGTCAGCCAACTTTGGTTCATCATTCCACTACTTTGATTCTTCCAGATTCTTGCCTGTGCGTAGGTTTGCAGGGGAGGAGTCAGCAAGGTCAGGAACAGAGACAGTACCTGAGTTTTGTAAATATACTGAACATTACACAACACATGCAAGTACAGAAAACAAAATCCAGTTCTAACATGGTCACAAGTCAATTGCTTTCAGGATTCAGTTTATCTGTATTCCTACGTAGGGCTAACATAGCCCCCAATTCAGAAAAGCGCATGCTTAAGTCATCCTTCTTCATGAAAACTCTTTAGCATAACGTGCCATAATTAAGGACACGCTAAAGTACCTTTCTGAAAAAGCTACTGTAATCATCCTGGTATTACTATTGGTCTATACTGTTAGTGATTTTTCCTTCCATCATCTCCTTGGTTCACTACATTTAAATAATCTTGCCTTTCTTTTTTGTTGAGATAGGGATTACTTGGCGGAATATCAGAATATTGTAATTCGTAAATTCTATTAACGCTCTCTTAAGGCTCATCCTAAAGAAAACAAGATGATAAAGAGAAAACAAATGTTATTTGAATAATAGGAAATATTTATTATAACTGAGAATTTCTTCATCCAAAAAAGTGACACCAGATTGTATTTTGTGTGTCAGGATTATAGACTATATTAGATTTGAAGAAAAAATAGTTAATCCACATAACTATCATTTGGGAGTAGATATGAAAAATACCCGAGCAATTGGGAAAAAACATAAAAGGTGGATTGAAATTTCATTGCAGTGCCTTTGTATGTATAGACATTAGTTGAGTAGATCAAATTGGATTGTAGTGCAATTTTATTTCACTTCTAGTTTCCCATTCTTACATTGCAAAGGCTGCAATAAAATAAAATAAAATCCCTTTAGGGACCTGTAGGAAAGAATGTTTAAACTGCTGACTTTAAGGTTAATTTAAGGATTCTAAAAAGAAGGGAGCTCATTTTTACTATATGATATTTACTGAAATCCAATGTTACCAATGTGAGATACTGAATCACCCTACTAAAAATGTACCCATTTTGAAAAATGTCAAAGCCACATATATATATACTGTCTCTTCAAAGATTCAGAGGGGAGAACTGTACTTACCATCATGTTTGAAGGCCTCTGAGAAGTGATTGAGGTTTGTTGGTGAGTGATAGTGTTGTGCTGTTCCTCTCCAGCCTGGTGAAGATATGCTTCCTAATGAAGGGCTGCTTAATCGTGGCCTGTTCTTTGAATTAAAGAGTGCTGAAGATGAACTGGCAGATTTAATTCTTAGGATAGCAGCATATGAAGTTGGGAGGCCTGGAACAGCTGCTGAATATTCTGTAAAAGAAGTAGTGAGTTCTGAGTAGAAGATAAAATAGATAAGAGGAGCAGGAGAAAAGGAGATTCTCATTTGCCTAAATAATATTTTAGCCAGGAAGTGCAAAAGTGAGAAAAAAAGAAAAAAAGAGAGGAAATTAATAAAGTCTTTAAATAAATCAATACACAGCAGAGTTTTGACCCCTAAAAGGGAGAAGTTCCTGCCTCCATGAAGTCCACCACAGATCTTGCTGTTCCTATCAATTTTAGATGGAAGGCACTTAGACCTATGGTGATGGGTGGTAGTATAAAACCACAAGGTAGCTGGAAAGAGAAGTCTACCTCTAGTGATATCAGACTTCATAAATCTGTGGTGAAACTATTAATTAGCTCACCGTGATGCCCTTCTCATTGCCTTCCTCACCAAGCCCCTATAGTCTCTCCTTGTTTATCCTCTTTCCTTAAGGCTCACTTTTTAGAAGTAGCCCAAAAATACTGACCTAGGTGAAACACCTTCCTGACTCCCAACATTACTAGAGAGGTGATGTGAGTTAATTCAGGAGAGCTCAAGCAGACACTCACAACAAGGTCACTTACTCTTTTGTCTCTCCCAATGCCTTTTATCTTTTTTGTCTGTGTATTTTACATTGCAAGCTCCACAACTCAGAAACGGTCCTTAATTTTGTGTCTTATACCATGCCAAACGTTAGAAATAAACCATATTCTTTAAAATAAAGCTGAGATGAAAGTTATTTAAACCTATTCTGCAGCAACTCAGCAGGGAGAACTCCCATTTAAATCAGTAGGAGTTCTCTACATGCACCGGTGAGAGAATCAACATGTTATGTTATGCAGAAGCTCCCAGATTGTTGTAAAATACATTCATTTATGCTAATGGATAGCCTGGATCGCAAAGGAGCAGCTGTAAAGAAAAGGATTCCTTTGTGGGGTCAGGGGAGAGTATGGCAGAAAAAAAGGTCACTATTGTGTTTCTCTAGTGCTGGTAAAATAGATCGTTTGTTTCACTCCTTGCATCAACATCCTTCAGAAGATGAAAAATTCAAATCTCAGATTGCCCCCTACTGAAAGGGTCACATGACAAGCCTTTCAGTTAAGATGTAGTAACTGAAAACTTCTCCAAACTTTGTGTCATCTTGCACTCTGCAGAGCTTTTTGAACCCTTGGAAAGATCCCTTACATTTAAGTAATTGGTATGGTTGCATTGTACTTTGTTTTAAAATGATAAAAATGTGCATTTTGTTTTGTATTGTTTACACAGGATATGACAGTGAACTCTGGGATGCTTACAGTTTTTGAAGACAGGGACTATGCCTTCTCAGTACAATGCTTAGTGTCCATGAGGAGACGTTAAAAGATCCCTGCTATGTTGCTGTTACTTTAGAGGAAAATGCCTGACAAGCAGATCAAGTGTATCTGAAAATAGCCATCTCCTCCTATTCAAACTGCTTAAGAGACTTAAAAGAGTCTTAGAGTCTCTTTTAAAACTGAGAACTAAACACAAGTTTTGGCATGTATATGTGTAAGGTAATATAGAAAAGTATACATAAGAAGAATTCTGCCTTGAGGTGATTTCTCATTTTGGTCTCAGAAGCCATCTATTTTATAATGGAATGCATCATCTTGTTCTATAACAATATCTTGCCTGACCCATAAAGGGGGTGGGGAGGGGGAATAGAACTATTCCATGATACATTAAACCTGAAATGAAGAATGGGAATACTGCTTATAGGACTTCTTGCAATGCTATCACTGGAATACTAATAGAAATACAATGTGGTTTTCTTTATAATAAAATATATTTCATTGTCTCTTGATATATTCCTGAACATATTCTAACAAGATCTACGCTGTCCCAAAAAGTGTAGATGTTAGATTGCTCCATATTTCTACCTGGAACCAGAGGCTCAGCAAAGACTGTTCTTGAAATGTATCTCTTGGGCCTGGTCTACACTACGAGTTTATGTTGGATTTAAATCCGAATTAACCCTGCACCCGTCCACACAACGAAGCCATTTTTTCGACATAAAGGGCTCTTAAAACTGATTTCTGTACTCCTCCCCAACGAGGGGATTAGCGCTGAAATCGACATTGCCATTTTGAATTGGGGTTAGTGTGGAAGCAATTCAAAAGGTATTGGCCTCTGGGAGCTATCCCACAGTGCACCATTGTGACTGCTCTGGACAGCGCTCTGTACTCGGATGCACTGGCCAGGTGTACAGGAAAAGCCCTGGGAACTTTTGAATCTCATTTCCTGTTTGGCCAGGTGAGCTCATCAGCACAGGTGACCATGCAGAGCTCATCAGCACAGGTAACATGCAGTCCCAGAATTGAAAAAGAGCTCCAGCATGGACCGAACTGGAGATACTGGATCTGATCACTGTATGGGGAGTGGAATCTGTGCTATCAGAACTACGTTCCAAAAGACGACATGCCAAAACATTTCAAAAACTCTCAGAGGCCATGAGGGACAGAGGCTACAGCAGGGACGCAACACAGTGCTGCATGAAACTTAAGGAGCTCAGACAAGCACACCAGAAAACCAAAGAATCAAACAGGCTCTCCGGGACAGAGACCCAGACGTGCTGCTTCTACGCTGAGCTGCATGCAATTCTAGGGGGGGCTGCCACCACTACCCCACCCCTGTCTGTGGACTCCGATGATGAGGTACTCTCTGCCATGCCATTGCAGCAAAGCCATCCACTATGACCTGCACATTTCCCAGGGTCACTACCCTTGATATCAGCAGATCTTTGATTGCGTGGGCTACGTGGGCTACTTGCATCACAGCAGCCCCAACAGTAGATTTGCCCACTCCAAATTGATTCCCAACTGACCGGTAGCTGTCTGGCGTTGCAAGCACCCCCAGTTCCCATTAACTTCAACTGTAATTGTGGGTGTTTAGCTCCTTTGACATCAGGACTAAGACCAAAATTTTCAATGTGGCCACTAAATTGAGTATCTCAATTTCTGGATGTCAAGCATGACTCATCTTGACAGTCTGATTTTCAGAAATATGGATACCCCGGGGCTCTGGGCTCTGGCAGAGCTTTAAAGGGCCTGGGGCTCCGCTGTGGTAGCAGCTGCCAGAGCCCCGAGCCCTTTAAATCCCCACCTGAGCCCTGCTGCCCGAGCTCTGGGGTAGTGGTGGCTGGGCTCCATCAGGGATTTAAATGGCCCCGGGGCTACAGCCGCCGCTATCACTCCAGCCACCGCTATCACTCCAGCCCTTTAAATGCCCGCCGGAGCCCCACAGCCGCTACCCCAGGGCTTTGAAAGCAGGGCTCTGGCGGGGATTTAAAGGGCCCCAGAGCTCCAGCCGCCACTACCCCTCCCCCCCCAGACCCTTTAAATCCCATCCTGAGCCCTGCTGCCAGAGCCCTGGGGCAGCAGCGGCGGCTGGAACTCCGGGGCCCTTTAAATCCCCGCCGCAGCCCCACCGCCGCTACCCCAGGGCTTGGGCAGCAGGGCTCAGGCCTGGATGTAAAGGGCCGGTGTGGGGGTGGATAGCGGCGGCTTTAAATCCCTGCTGGGGGCTTTAAATCCCCTGGGCCCTTTAAATGCCTGCTGAAGCCCCGCCTCTGCTACCTTAGGGCTCGGGCCACAGGGCTCAGGCAAGGATTTAAGGGGCCCAGGGCAGTAGCAGCGGCTGGAGCTCTGGGGCCCTTTAAATCCCTGCCACAGCCCCGCCGCCGCTACCCCAGGGCTTTACATTGCCTTCTCTGAAAGCCGGTCCTGGTACGGTGCACCAGCTCTTACCGATACGCGGTACCGGGGCGTACCGGCTTACTTTCACCTCTGACTCCAGTTGAAGTCAGAGAGAGATGCAGGTGTGCTGCACAACTGAAAATCAGTCCTCATGTTGGGCACACAAAATAAATGGCCAGTTTTTAAGTTTTGGACCCCGGTGACTTTTCCCCAGCGCCATGGAACATGTGGTAGAACTTGGAACAGAACACAGGTTTCCAGCTCCTACTCTTGCTCTTTAAACACTAGGCCAGATAATAAAATGTCCCGTTTTACTACCTAAGAAAGTAAGTAAAAAAGGACATAACTGCTTTAAAACAACTCATGAGTTAGCCACGTTATATTTTAATCAACTGCTTAAGTATCACAGCTAGGGCAAACCTAAAAATGAAACAGAACCAAGTCTTCAGATCTGTACAACCCCAAACTCTGCAGATGTTTGGATCTGAACCAAGACTAGCTGACACAGGCACGTCTCCAGGAAAAACAGCTCTCCTGCTATCCTGTGTACTACATACATATCCCACTGAAGTGCTATTGAAAAGAATACTGTCATGATGCAAGGTAGTAATCTGCACCAGGAAATTGAATTCAACAAGCCTGAAGTGCAAACAAGTTTTGACAATTTCTTTTGTTATTGAAATTGGATTTTCAGATGGATTGCTAAAACAGATTTGTTCTGTGTTGCCTCCAAGCCAGGATTATTTAGCGATTTTTAGTCTGAGAAAAGAACATTTTACAAATCTTAGGGATCTTATTATGTACTTGAATGAGAAACAATAGTAACTCCAGAGTTAAAAACAAACAAAACCAGCTTAAATGGCACAAAACAAAAGAGCTGTGGCAAGGAAGGAGTAAAAGGCTTTGTGTATATTAATGTACAGACCAGAGCCATGCTACACCATGGTGACGAGATCCTCCACTAATTCCAGCATAAAGCAATCTGGTTTCTGACCTTTTGAGGTGTATTTGCTAAGAGTGTCCTCTGTTTGACAGGGATTACTGTTAGCGCTAGTGTGCAATTTTACTTTAACTGCAGCTGTTTCATCATGCTTGTGAGGCTGCTGTGTCCCAGTGAAGCAGCTCTTGTAAAACATATTTAGAAATGGTTAATAAACTATAAGTAAGAAAACATTTCTTATTTTGTTTACTGAAAGCCTGTACTCTGTGCTCATCATTGCCAACAGAGCAGAAATCAGCCTTACCTGAAAGCAAAACCCATTTCCAAACCCATGCACTTCCCTCCAGGGATTTAG